AGGGCCAGTTGAGACCCTCGGTGAGGGTCGTGTCCCTGAGAGGTTTCCTGTGGCTGCTAGGTCGCTGCAGACGAAGATAAGATGGAAGGGATCATCCTCCTCCCCCATCCCACAGCCACAGAGCCTGTCGCCCTTACCCAGGAACCTCCGCAGGTAAGAGCCAAAGTTCCCATGGGCCGACAGCAGCTGGGTGAGGGAGTGATCCATGGAAAAATGCCGGTTCTTTATCCTGTTCTCGATGATGGGGATGAAGTTATGGGTCACTCTCCCAGTTTTGCTGGTGTCCCATTCCTTCTGCCATAGCCTGATGAGGGCCTTGTGGATGGCCGACCAGACGTGAGAGACAGGAATTGCCGCATAACTGTGGCTGCTGGCAATCCGGTTAGCCTTCCGGTAGCCCAATATCTGTTGTCCTATGTGAATTAGTGTTGTGTCATCTGGAAAACAATATCCTTCCCATTTTTCAAAACGACATCATGTTATATTCCAGATATGTAGATGATGATTTCATTCTGTGGAGAAATGATTACAACACTAAATGGTTTCTAAACACGGTCAACAATAACCCATATGGTTTAATGTTATATTTGGACCAAGGAAGTGAGAATAATGTTAATTTCCTCGATCCATCCATCACATGCAAAGAAGGAGAAATCTAAACGGACATTTATCGCAAACCAGTTTATCAACCCATTATTATCCCGAGGAATTCTATCTATCCCAGGCACATTAAATATGCATTGTTTTGGGCATGAATTAAACGAGCATATACTCATTGCACAAGTATTTATGATACCTATAAAGAATTAGATTACATTCGGAAGACAGCATTACAGCAGGGATACCGGAGTCGAGAGGTGGATAAGCTTATTACAAAGTTTCAGAATCAAAATCAACATCCTCCCATAATGAACCAGGGAAGAAGAGTAGTACTTAATTATTTTCCTATTTTAAACAAAATGATTAGGAGAATTGCCAACAATAATAATCTACAAATAGTATATTGGCATAACCCAATGATCTATAGATTGTTAAGAAATGATAAGAGAAAGGAAAATCAAAATTCTTTGACGGGTGTATTCTATACCTATAAAAAATCATCGCTTTAACTCCGACCTTGTTTATGTTGGTGCAACTATGCGGCAATTAAAACAAAGACTCAAAGAACATAAATACTCCGTGAGTAAGAACAGAGATAGTACTGTGCTCGCAGCATTTGCCAAACAGCAGGAAGTCAACATCTATTGGGATCAAGCATCCATCATTAAGGCTATGAACACCAAACAAGCAGTGAAGCATCTTGAAAAGCTAGAGATATACAAGGCTCATATAAGCACGGGGTGCATTAATCATAGAAATGTAGATGGATTATCCACTGCGTGGAAATCTTTTTATAATAACACAAGTTAATATGATATACAGTAGAGCCTCGATTATCCGCCCCCCAATTAACCGACACCTCGGTTAACCAACTGTCCTAGTCGGCAAATTTCAAATGTCCGCCAGTGATGTGGCACTACAATATTTGACTATGTCTTGGCTACTTTAATATTATTTTTACGTGTTTTAGCTGGCAACACTCATTCAACCATGAAAGGGCACCAGTATTTAAACAAGGCTTAATTTTCTAATTTTTAACGATACAATAGCAACGATTATTATTTTTAAAAATTTTTGTTAGGCTTAACATTGATGAAAATTCAACGCAAAGTAGGTTAGTAGTGATATACAGGTAGCCCTCGGTTTACGCCGCAGTTCCATTCCTACAAAAGCCGGCGCAAATCGAATCGGCGTAAAACGAACCCATATTTACACTGAGGTATAGGGTTAGGTTCCACATAAGTGAAAAATACGCAAATAATTTTGTTTATTAATACAGTATAATACAAAGTACAAATAAATTTAATTTTTAAAATGTATTTTATCATAAAATAAAGTTGAATGTTTTTATTAAAAATTTTAGTTTCCGATCTATTACATTTTTCAGAAAAAGTATCCATCTTTAATTGTTTACATTTTTGTTTTCTTTCATTGAGAATTTCGGAATATGGTCGAATGGATGCAACAATGCTCCTTTTTACATTTGAACTTCGCTCCCAATCATTGTCTAACTCACAAAGTTCAACCGTCAAACTTTCCATAGTTGAAATGATACGATAAATTCAATGGTGCTATGGATTCGGACGCCATTTATTGGACTATTAAGTTTGATAACTTGACTCGTGGGTACCTAAACGTTTCGTATTTTAATATTAATTTAATGCAAATGTATACATACCCAATAATATTAAACAGAAAAAATAAATATATTGAATAAAAATCTTTGTTTTAACGAATGTACAATGTCGTGGCTTGGTAAATATGTCAACACTGAAACGAAAATCATTCTGGCATAGGGAAAATCGGAGAATTACACAGCAAAATGGCAAATTGTGTAGCGGCGTTATTGTGAATCGGTGTAAACCGAGGGCTACCTGTACTAATATACTAATTACATGTGATATAATAATATACTACACTAATAATGGATTTTTTCATACTTTTCGGTTATCCGACTTTTCAATTATCCGACCAACCCCAGTCCCCAATTGAGTCGGATAATCAAGGCTCTACTGTAGTCAACATATGTTTCCTCGTTGGCAGCTGTATTTTTAAATTATTTTTATTTTAGTTATTTATTATTTATAGGTAATCTGCAGGCACAATTCATTTAAACTGCGCAGGCACGCTTTATGATTTGTTTAATTTTGTGTTTCATACATTCTATTTTAATGTTTTTTCTTAATGTTAACATTAAGAAATTTAACTTAAGAAATTTAATTTAACATGACAAAAACTGTTGAAAACGTTTTTGTCATATTAAATTATTTATTGCTGAATAGATAAAGGTGTTATTTATATTAGTCAAATTAAAATCAAAATTCATTTCAGAGAATAGAGGATGTAAATACAGGCAACAAAATTAAGATAGCAATAATTATCTCAATCAATCACCTCTATAAATTTGACAAGCCAAAACAATAATTGATTAAGATCAATTGTCTCTCATTAACATTAACACTCATTAACAACTTAATTTTCTCACCTGTGTACATATGCTTTTATAAATCATTTCACAAGATTCTAATCAATTTTTATATGTTAAAGCATTATATAATTAAATTTTATGAATTTCAGAACTGTTAAAAAATGAAAAACTTATGGTGAGAATAATTTTTAAATTGTACTTTTGTTGCTTTTTTGTAATATTTAATTTATATTCTGGAAACTCAAAATATATATTGATCACAGAATATATTCTGTGATCTTATAACTGAAGATATTTTTGACTTGTCAAACAAGTCAAAAATATGTATTTCATTAAACAATTTTGCTGGAGAAAGCATTATTGATCTAAGAAATTTCCTGCATTTGGGACTCACTTATTAAGGGGAAGCCAAATAATGCTAAAAGGAAGTATTATTGTTTTTAGAAACTTGTATTAAATCCAGTTTATACTAATTGTACCCAGCAAAATATCTGCTGTAAAAGATTATTAAATTACAAATAAATAGAGAAAACAAAGATGCAAATAAATTTATTTAATATTTATTAATGTAACTTATAAAATTTTTCTGATATACATTTTTTGTGTAAATATCTACTCAGTTAGATATTTGTTTCAGCATGCAAAGTAAGTCAATGGATGATATTTAGTCAAATACAGTTTTATGTTTCGTTTTAGTCTACCTGTAAAAGTTCTTCTGTGTTTATGCCCATTTTATTCAAAAGAAATGAGGTCAATCCTCCTGAACAAAATTTAATTTACAATAATCTTCCCACTAATAACATAAAGTTAAAAAATAAATGAAAATATATGAAAGAATGCCAACTTGAGAAGTTATTTTCAGAAGTGATTTTATACTGGATGGGATAAGTTCAATAACCAGAATGGCAGGGAGAAGAAAGAGCAGAAAGAGCAAAATTGGGCATACTATTGCTTCCAATTATTTCAAATGAAATTAAACAGTAAAACAGATGCAATATAGCTAATCTACATTAAATAAGCTTCAAAAAAAAAAAAAAACAAATAAAAATGATGCATAAAACAAACATAATTCATATTCAGTATTATTATAAATATATATACATTATTCATATAAACATTAACAAATTGGAAATGGGCTTTGCCTTAGCATATTCTGTATATATAATATATAGATGTTAAACTTCTATCTATATAATCTTGTCAAATTATATACACATTTCAATCGAAAAAAATTTAACATATTAAGTTCCATTAATAAATTATTAATGTCTAATAAGTATTTATTCTCAGGTAAATAGAAATTATTAGTTAATAATAATTATACAAAAGATTCCAAAAACTTAAATTATATTAATATATACTTTGATGAAGTATTCTGGAGTATGAAGTTCTACAGTTTATTGAATTATTATTATATAATAATTTTTCTTTTCACATGATTTTAATACTCCATTAAAGCATATACAGTAATACCCCAAACTTACGCAATAGGTGGAACCAAGCGATAACTGCGTAAGTCGAATTCGCGTAAGTTGGGGTATAATTTCGCAATTTGTGTAAAATCCAAGTCGAATGTATGTAAGCTAATAAACGTTCTCATTAATCTTATCTCATCTTTTGATTCGTTCACGATTACAAGAAATCACCACATAGAGTCTCTCAAGTCTCCGTAGATATAACAAACACAGAAATAAATAACACAAAATAAATTGTAGCTATGTGTCGATTCCACGCGACATGTCTGAACATGTAAGCCGAACAATAGTGTGGGGGGAGTGAGTAATCAAGAGTTGCGTGGCACTCAAACAAAAGACGTATCAATGAGATTTGAAAATTGCATAACTCTGGGTTCACGTAAGTCGGGGTAGCGTAAGTCGAGGTATTACTGTACTGTTTACATAATTTATAATGTGTAGTAGCTAATAAATATATAAATAATTTAATATAAAATAAATTTTATATTTAATTTTACCTGCTCTAATTTGACCATGCCTATTAATTCTCAAAAGACCTTTCTTCTTTACTATAAAGCTTGAACCAATAAACAAACTAGAACTGACGGCCAGACTCAGTCCAATATAAAAATTTTTCTTATTTTCAATTTGAGTTGAATTGATGCTGAGTTCTCTGCATTTTTCCAATACAGCTGTATCATTACAATAAATATTTTGTAAAGATCCAAGCATGCTTGAAGGTGACATGTTCATATCGTCATGCTAAAAATAAGAGAGAGAAATAAATAAATATTTTGAATTAATGATTAAAAATTTGAATAATTAAAATAAATTAGATTAGTAAGGTTTAAATAAATTTTTTTTAAGTTTCTCAAAAATAATTACAGTAATCACTTTTATACTGCAATTTTATTAAAGCAATAATTATCCAAAACACTGATTTTAGTATAAAAAATTTATTTGAGAATCCTACAAAATGAGCACTGATGATGATTTACTGGTCTGGATCTCAGATTTTGGTTCTGTTCAGTGATCAGTTTATTCATGAAAACAAATTGATTTCTCATCCCTAATCCTTGGATTTTTATGTAATTACATATTTTTCATTTTAAAATGAAATGTACATAATAGGAATTGCATTACCAGTAAGCAATTTACTGGTAATCAATTAAAACATGCATGCATAATATATTGTACTAGTAATTTTATACTTTTTACTGGTAAATTCAATAAAAATAAGAAAACATGTAATAATGTTTTTGAAGCCAAATGTTTAATTGTATGTACAGTACTTTTGCATACATTTATATTTTTATATTTTAAAGATAGAAGCAACAAATTTATTTATTTAAACAATAAAATTAGTTTACATCATTTGTCATTTAAAAGTTGTTAAGAACTGTAAAGNTGACCGTAGGACTGAACACGTAGTATTTTCTTTGATAAATAAAATTTATAATTTAATTTTGTAAATTTAAGAGTGCTTCAAATATGACGTTAAAACAAGGTTTTATGTCGTTACAAGTGGGTTTTTTAACATTATCTAGTATAGTAAAATCGTGGGACCGATAAAAATTTGACGTTATATTAGGGATGTCGTTATAATCGGGTTAAACTGTAATTGTAAGGAAATTTATATGTCTATTAAATGGTTTTTATGGTAACCCTGTCTCGGTGAGTCTTTCCGTACCCACACGACTGTTCTGACCACTCGACTGTCGTGACAACTTTTCACCTGATTGGCTAACCTCGCACAAATTTTACCATTGCTCTGGCACACATTACTTTTCACGTGATAAAGTGGACAACAATTTTTCAGGATTCAATAAACTGAGCTGTAAATTATCTTCTCAAACCCAAGAAATTACTCTATTTTACTCTATTTTCAATAATACTATTATTATTCACATCAAAAAATATAAAAAGGAAACTGGTACTGTAATAAATGTTCTACTTTGAGTAGAACAGATTTTCTTCTCCTAATAAGCAAAGACGGGTTCAACCTCCAATTGTAGAGCAATTCAAACATCTGGTTTTAGCAGATCATTCTACTGTACTCAGAAAAATAGGGGTTAAAGTTTAAGGATGTTTCCCCTTTAAATGGATGTGGTCTTTTGCAAATACATGCTAGTTTGCATATTGGGGGTGTGTACAGGGATGCCTGGTTTGGTTACTTTTTACTCTTTTGAGTGCAAAAAAATATTTTCTACTTTTCAAAAAAAATCACAGATTTCTTTTATCTTTGTTTCGTTTAACTACTCTGATTTACTACTCCACACTTAAATGGCAAATACTGTCTCCTCCTGATTTGAATTGATTTGAAAATAATTTAGATCATAAATTTATTTTTAAAAATAAATTAATTTTATCTAACTGTATTAAGTAAATTATTTCAAAATATTATAATTTTGAGATTTTGATCATCTATTAATCCTTAACTTCATAAATTATACAATCTTAACCATGACACTGAAAATAGTTAACAGAGATTTTTGATAAACAGAACAAACAACTGTTCTCCTAGCAATTTGTATTAATACTAGTTAACTGTATCAATATTAACAACGTATTCTGAAATTTCATCATAATACTTGTATATACAGTAGAGCGTCGATTATCCGAAAGTCAATCATCCGAAAGAATTCCAGTCGGCAAATTTAAATTTTCGCCAGTGCTGTGGCGCTGCAATCTTTGGCTATGTCTTGGGCTACTCAAATATTTTACGTTTTTGATACTAAATTAACTTCTGAAGTATAATTTTTTATTGTTTTTATATTTTTCAATATATTTATTTTGTTCGTA